CCTAACAATTATTTCATCTTATTATACAGTATAACTCTATATCTTATTATCATTTCACATTTTAACTGTATAAAACCTTCATATAATCTAACTCAGTTAATAGTTTCATACACTAATTTATGCTACTCCTAGAGCTAAAACTGCTAAATCAGCAAAGAAAGACCTCACTTGGTGTTTTTTTGTGAACCGAGGCTTTATTTTGGTGCACTTTGTTTTTAGAAACATGACTTTTAATGCATTTAGTTCAGTATGATGTTGAATATGTCATATTTGATCCCTCTATAATAGTACACATAATATTTTCTAAATAGTGCGCTTGACCTGAGTCGGTCGAGCGCTTTTTTGCGCCTTGCACCTCAGGCGATAGAAGTACTCTAACGCCAAGTGTGCCTCACGACTTTGACTACCTTGATTCTCACTTTATCAATTCAATATCAACCACATAAACTCGCATTTCTTGGTAACCACACCACCTCCTTTTGTACCATTGTTAGGTGGATGGAGGTAGTATTATTATTTTATTACTATTACTATTGTTGTTGTTATCAACTTATCATTATTGGAACTTGGAAGTAATAAAAAAGTTTTGCAACGTCGAACGCCACCCTCTCTTGCCAAGGGCAGAGAAGATCATATTTTTTTCAGTTATCTCATTTTCATCTCTGAACCACACCTGTAACATAATCATCCTTAATTACTGGCATACACAATATCTTGTATTGAGTTAGCTACATGTGACTATACCCAGTGTTCTAAAAGGCGCTAAGATATGGTCGGCTGGTGGCTGGCCGCCTAGTGCCTAGCCCGGCTAGGGTGCCTAGGTCTCCCTCTTTACTTTTTGTTTTATTTTTATTTTTATTTCCTTTGAGCTTTAATATCACTTCCTCCGTTCTCTTTTAGTTGTACCGGTCCACTTTTCACGTTTGCCAACGCGCAACTGTGACCGCTAGCTAAAATACTTCATTTCTTATTAGTAAAAAATAAAAATAAAAATCATTTTTGAAAATTTAAAATGAGAGGAATTTAACAATATTTTTCAAAAAATATTTCATAATACACTAATAAATAAAATGTACTCAAAGTAGAGTATGTGTATAGCACAAAACTCAACAATGTTTCAATTAAAAAAGAACGGAGGTAGTATTTATTAAAGACTTTATAATATTTTGATAATAGAAATAGCTCATATAATTAATAAATGTTATGCTTTTGTGGTAAAATTGTAAATAAAAATAATAATTAATGGAAAATTTAAATAAAATAACAAGATTGTGTTTTTAAAACATATTTTTCATCATAGGAATATTAAAATAAATTTAATAGGAATACAATAATTATTGATCAAAAGATATTTTTAGGACAAAGTAGAGAAAATTAGTTTGACTGGGAAAAAATCCACCCAGGACCGCCTAGGTACCTGAACGGCTTTTGTGATTATATTAAAATCTAGGCGCCCAGTCACCTTCTAGCAACTATGTCAATTTTAGAACAATAGTTTTACCTACTTGTTAAAAAAACATTAGGTAATTAAACAAAGAATAAATTCCACTTTTGGTCCTATGGGTATTGTACCAATTCCACAGTTGGTCCACATCTTTGACCCTTTTTGGTACATGACTATTGCGTTTTCGCCCAAATATGATCCTTCCATCAATGTCTGGTGGTAAAAATCGCCGGAAGAGGACCACAAATGATCAAAAAACATTTGTCAAGTTCCAAAGTGGACAAAGTGAAAGATGTGGACTAAATGGGGAATTGACATAAAACTCATAGGACCAAAAGTGGAATTAATTCTTAAACAAACAACAAACAGGTTAAACACTTTGGGGTAATTAAATTTACTTAGTAAAATTTTGGGAGACAGCAGCCCCTGCTTGCTCCCTTCCCAGCACCACAGGTCTACCATTGCTATTAATGATAAATGATAACTAGGTTCCTGTTTAGTTACAATATGCTACTACCTTCCATGATGTAAAATACATGTGGGAGTGGTGAAGGTTTTAAGAAAATAAATGATAAAGTGATTGTTTTACAATTCTATCCTCCCAAATGTAAGAAAGAGTAGGATGGGTCCACAAAAAGTAAAGGTTGAAATGATAGATAAAGGGATAAAGTGTGAAAGTAAAAAGTTAGTGGAATTCAATTTAGAAAAACGTTCATATTTTTGGGACATTTTTGGGACAACTCAAGAGGAAAGTGTATCTTATAGAATGGGAGAGAGGAAGTGCTTGACTTATTAATACATGATCTCAATAATTAGCAATTTCAAATCAGCAGTTGTGGTGTGACCTCATTCAATTCATGGTTTTCTACCTGGTCAGATTGTTGAATGACGATCTAGGACAAGTTATATCCAATCTTGCAAGATGATTCCTTTCTTTTAGGGGAGCATTACATCAAAAGAACAAAGAGTTACATTTATTTAAGTTAAATCTTTGAACAGTTATATTGAGAAAATCTTACAAAAAAGGGAAGTGTCGAATAGGCCCTTGTACTATCGTAAAAAAGTCAATTAAGTCCTCATACTATCTAATCACCCAATCAAACCCTCAAACTATTAAATAACACCCAATATTGAATTTTAGCCGGTTGAACACAGGTATGCTGGTAGCTGTTGACGTGGACGGCCACGCACATTATTATTTTTTTGGTCAATTATGCCTTTTCAAACATAGATCTGCCTAGGGAGACTGTTTATCTTCTCCACATCAGCGCCAATGGTGAGGCCTCGTTAGTCGTTACAGATGATTTGGTGAGTGGATTCAAGATCTTCTTAACTTTTACAAATCTTTCTCTTTCTTCATTCTTCACTCTTCTACACCAACTAATTTGCAATGGAGACAAAGATTCATTATTTTTTGGCTTGAGAATATGATGGAATAAAGCAAAACGGCTCAGTAAACTGTCTGCGCTTCTTTCTTATGAAGCAGCAGTCAGTCCATGAAATTGTGGACGCGATTTTCACTATGGGTCATCCAGAAAGAGTCCCTCTGTGCTTTAGTACATCCGACCCCCCTTACCCCACCGTAGGTGGGAGCCTTTGCGGCACTGGGGTAAATGAAAATGATGAAATGATCCAACTAATTCGAACTCTGGTTCGTTCTTCTTCTTTCATCTTTCTCCTTGGGATAAAGATATTAACATTTTCACATCATTTAATTTTTGGGTCTGGCATTTTGATACCATCTTCATATCAACATATTTAATATTAGATTGTATGAAAATAAAAAATAAAATGAAAAGTGAAAGAAATACAATGAATAAAAAAGAAAAGGAAAGACTGATGGAATCGAGTGGAAACAAAGGCAAGAGGAAAAAAATGAGATGTTAAGTGTGATTCATTGTCATTATCTCTAGGATCACTCCTTTGAGTTGGAGGAACAGAGTATTACTCACAAACTAGGTCGGTTGGATACAAGAAGATGAATGACATAGTGAGATACACCAAGAAGAAGAAATAATGGAAATTAAATGACTTTGGATTTATTTGTGGGCGGATTTATTTGTGGGCGACTGGCGGCGGTGGGTGAAGTTGGGGTAGAAGCGGAGCTCGGTTAAGACGCGAGACGAACACGCCCACGAACATGGAGCCAACAAGCATCCGGGCAGCAGCAGGGCTTGGAGCGACGGTGATAATCAAATATCCAATTGAAATGGCTGGCTCCAGTAAGTGAAAAGTTAATTCTTGGGGGATTGGTTGCATAGGGAAGGCGAGAGATTGGTGGAGTTGACCGAAGGTAAAAGGCAAAGAAAATGTAAAATAAAAGAAATAAGATTTATGACGCCAAATAAGTGCCGACTAAGTGGCCACGTGAGCAACTTGACAGGGAAACCGGTGAGAGACCGGCTAAAATGCCGTTTCGATTGTTTTTGTAAGTTGATGGGTTTGATTGAATGATTATTTAGTATGAGGGTTTGATTGGCTTTTGTGTTATGGTAAGAGGACTTATTTAACAATATTCCCTACAAAAAACTATAATCTTTACAGACTCGCTGAACCTTTTAAGTTCAGTAAAACAATACATTACTTTTTCAGAAAAAATATTAAGCTCAAAATTATGATTCAAACAGGACAACATTACTACTTACAGAAGTCCTCATCTGATCTAATATTACAAGTTTTGTTCGAAAATAGGTAATGCATAGTTACATAAAAAAACATCAACTTAATACGTATAGGTAGTCTGGAAAATTATTACATATCAACATATGTTGGCATCAAAGTTCAGTAAAATGGAATGTTAAGTATTTATGTGTGTGTATGCATTCACATACACACATACTTACAGACTGCGGTTCAAATAAAAAATATTATTCCCGTAAAAATAAGAATTAATCCTAGCCCTTCAAGTTGATGCGATGAATAGTTAGATATCTGAAAACTAATGAGCGTTTAATGAATGGCCTGCTGCAATTGAATGTTATGAAGTCCACATTTTTTAACAGATATATTCTCGTTTTTATATACTGAGTGTTTTTACTTGAACTCGACCCCTTACATGTGTACGTGCGCGCGGGTATTTATATGTATGTATATAAAAAAGGAAAAATTGATAGTAATAATCCCAACTATTGGCGGTCCGCCAATAATAATCCCAACTATCGATTATTACAGAATAATCCCAACTTTAGGGACCTTCCGCCAATAATGGTCCCTATAAATAAATTCTTATAGTTTCTAAAGTGGATGAAAAGAGATATAGCAAATAATCCCCATAAATAATCTCAACTTTTAATTTTTACGCTTAATTTCTATTTAAAATTCACTTTTTGTAGGAGGTAATATCTGGTCATGGACCATTTATTGGCGGACGATCCATATAGTTGGGATTATACAAAAATAATCAATAGTTGGGATTATTATCAGCGGACCGGTAATAGTTGAGATTATTATTTTCAATTTTTCCTATAAAAAATGGAAGAAAATACAGAGCTAATACATAAAAGTGATTCGATGGCATAATAAGTTTTCATAAAATACTCGTATCAAAGATGATCACCTCTTTCCAATCTGGAATTCCACCCTCTGGAACCCAAATAGGATGGTCATACATGCAGCTATCTCCAAACTTACAGGTTCTTGTGAGCATATAATGGGCACAATCTTTCTCTCCGGGCCTCTGAGGATAGATGGGCAAATTGCATGCAGTCTCAAATCTAGGACGCTTGGCTAAAGGATTGCTTGAATACCAAGATTCAGTTTGGCCAAGGGCACTATGGCCACCCAAAAGTGTCTGATGATAGAGAGCTATGACACATAATTCAAACATACAAACAAGAAAATCATATTATAGTGTATGGTATTACATATATATACATATAACGTTATATATTAGGAGTACAAGATGAGCTATAATAAAACTAAATGAGGATTGCTATAGTGACCTTAAAAACTTACACATCGTGTGATTTTATAGAGAAAACTGGAAGCTAGAATAATATAATTTTATATAAAGAAAGGAAAAGTATTTTTATATTAAAAAAAAAGGAAAAGTATGCATAAAATTCGATACATATTTTAACCATGGATACACAGAAATGTAACATCTCTACCTTCAATAATAATATATAGACATATAGTATTGTAAGAAGATACGAATCAAATTGGCCATATCTATTCTTCTCATGCTCCGTGTATGAAAATGTAAAATAGAACCTGCTTTATCAATGCATGTATTTTCCTAAAGCCCACTTCCGCTAGGTCTAAGGCTTACATTAGATTCAACAATCTCCCATGAAGCTGGGAAGCATGTCATAGTACACAACTTGTTGCACACATACCTTAGCCTAGGACCTCTAGGAGGCTTAGTCCAAATGCCTCAATTGTGTTGGCAGAAAATGTAAACCTGTAGTGAGACATACGGAGTATGGACATAACTTCTTTCCAACAGAAGTGTAGCCACAACTACTTTCCTAGACACTATGAGAGTTTGCGTTTATTTCTACTTTAAAAACGTGAATTTTTTTTTAAAGAAAGCGTTCAATAGTAAAGGTTGATAGTCTTTTAGAATAGGAGTGACTAAAGTGAAAAAGTTAAAGATGGAGTACTTGGTAAAAAATTCTTTTTGATGTAATACCCGTGCATAATGTTTTTTATACATCTCTGTTTACTGCAAACCAACAATTTCCAAGCATCTCTCCAATGCCAAATTTCAACGCGTGTGGATTCCTACCCTTGGGATTACCAACACACAGCCACAACAGATAAGAAGTCCTGAAATCTGAATCGGCTCCAAACTTCATCGCGTGTGAACTCCCAGGATGTCATCTGGACCCACTGATTTCTTCTGTATGGGGCTCTTTAACTTATATCATTTGGATCCTTCTCATAAATCCCAATTTACCATACCGGTATTGTAAGATCATTTATATCAGGATCTTTATCTTTTACTCTACTTGTTTAACCCGCCTTCTATCCTTCTTACCTCGAAAATCAAACACGGGTATCTTATGTTGAGTGAGAACACTCTCACCGGAATAACCTCATAACCTTATAGTTTGTGTAGCTAGTTCTCCAAGTACTTTGCACTAAGCTAGCTGTGAACTTGGTGCTTCTTCACTGCCATTCAATTTAACCAGCACACCAACAAGAGCATTACAAATTACTTTCACTTTCAACCGTGACTGTTTAGTATAGATTATAGAAAGAGAGACAAAAAAACACATTCAATGACTATTTATCTATTAGAAAGGAATTGTTAGCGATTTGAGTTCATTTATTGTTTCACATTGTATTTTACTAGTGCAATAGCCATGTCTAATGGTTATGCACTAATGTCAGGTTGGTCTATGTCAGTAATAGATTCTTTAATGATTTTTGAGATATTTCTGGATGGAACACCAATATATCAACCCAAACTTCCTATCTTCATAGTCGATATAACGATAGATTTAACATTATAGCCAGAAAATTGTTTGAAATTGTCAAACTACCCATCTTTTCAACTCCTCCACTCCTTCTAGCGGCGAAGCTACACAGTTGTTCTTCACAGACTCACCATTAACTAAATCAAAAACAGATCGAACGGATTACCAAGAAAGGTTGAGAACAGCACACTTGTGTTTCACGTTAGTGTGGTGGACTTCTGTTTCCATCGTTGCATTCGGCAGAGTGGCACCAAATCAAAACCAGATGCACGAAAGTGAATTTGTACAATGATGTACATGGATATTAAGAGATTACAAGTCGTACATCACAACATGTGTCACGTTACGGTTGCTATTGCAGGTTGGCATTGCAGCCAGTCTTGTTGTCATTGCCTCTGTGGACATTCCTCTTCCATGAGCACAAACCTTAACTTGCTTCTCTTTCTACTTATTATTTTCAAAGTAAATGAAACCTACATTGGTCTCCCTCCTACATAGGTCTAGCATTAATAATAATAATAATTCTTTCGATACGTAGTTTCCTACCTTTCTATTATGCATAACATTTGGATGTTTTACTTGGACTGGTTTCAACCCCATACCAGAACAAACCAGACTTAAACAGAAAGACCAGTATCCCTGAATATTGCTATGGTCTTAGGCTCTTAGCCAACCCAACTACAAGTCTACAACCAAAGAGCTGCATATTGAACCATAAAAACTTCATAATTGAGAGCAATTCAAAACTCCAGCAATATGAATACTATTTTTTGCATAGATGACCAAAACATAATGGAAATTCAGTTCATCTCTGTGAGTGATTATGTCCCATGCATGGATCATTCCACTGCAGGATAAAGAACTGGAGAGCATATAGAGAAGAATACCGCAATAAGGGAAGAGAAAGAGCCAAACCTTCAGACGATGGGCGCTTCAACCCGGCACCAAAGGGGTCAGCAACACCTGGTCCAATATCAACGCCGGGAGGTCCGGACCACGATGGCTGAGAAGCATATTCAGCGGCAGAAGGATATCTAGAGCCCATAGAGGAGAAACTACTATTGGCGCGATTATACAGCATGGTGACTAGAAGAAGATGTAGCCGTAGAGGGTAAGATCGCGAAGAAGAAGCTATCTCGGGAGGGAAGAGGCTAACAATGACGTGTCATCATCCCGGATCTCGTATTCTACTGGACTAGCCGCTGCTGTGAAGTCTAGGGTTATGGGCTTGTGAGTTACTCGTATGATATGTGATGAGTATATGGCTTAGCGACCCCGGCCCAAAACTCCTACTACTCCAACACAGGCCCAACCGGTCCAAGAAGCGCAGGAGGCCCAAAGCACCGCGGCCCAAACTCAAATAAACCCACGGTGCGCCTGGGGATGCCTTCGGCACCATAGCCGAAGGCTCCAATTCCACAGAACAGCTAGATTTAAGCATTCAAAGCTACTGGGAGAAAACGACAGAAATCAGGAGCCTTCGGCTCACAGGCGCCCTCGCCATAAGGGTAGCCTTCGGCCACAGGAGAGCTTTCGGCTACAGCGCACTCATCGAAGATTCCTTTTGGGGACAGACAACCACCGCATTTAATGCGGCCTCACGTCCACCCACCGCATTTAATGCAGTGCACATGCGAATGTCGGTGCCACCCCGATTAAGATGACCCCTCGGCCGTTAGATTGTTGACACGTGTACTCTCATCACATTTATGGTTGCTATAAATAGCAGCCCTTATTCTCCTTGTAAAGCACGTGAGTTCATTTAATACACTTCACTCTCTCTCTTTACTTGTTTGCTCTGACTTCTCTCCAGGTTATTCCTCGAATAACCCCTCGGATAAGCTACACCCGAGTACACTATCCATCATTTGGTGCTCTCATTGAGAGGTCCGAACAATCAAGTAAGAAACCCTCCACTTCACCAAACACAAAACACCTACCAAAATGGGAAGAACTCGTGGTCAATCCAAGACCCTTGAGGATAACCATGTAGCCCTCGGCGAAGCCAACGGGGTTGAGGCCTCCAACCGGATTCCCGAGGGCGGCACTATCGCCGAAATGGAGCAGGCCGCTGCTGACCTTCGTCAGCACATCCATAAGGCTACCCCTGATGCCCGCATCGGCCTTGATAACCGAAGGAAGCATCGGAGTGAGAACCAAGTTCCCCCTCCGGCTCCAACCACCGACCTTCAGGCCGCTTTCGCGGCCTTCATCCAAAAACATGGCCCTAAACTCCGGGGCCTTCATTACTCAACTCAAGCACCTCTCCAACCCCGATATGGGGGAACTTTATCCATCTTCCACCGCCCCCTCCATTCAACAATCCCATCATACGGGTTGGCAATGCCGAGGGTGTGGTGGCACAGGACACCGCCTCCCAAGAGGCTCAATCCGAAGACAAATGTTACGCGAACAAGGAAAAGCCTTGAACCTCTACCCTCGAGAGATTGGGGGAGCTCATGAACGTCGAGGGGTCCAAGACCGCCTCGGTGGGAAGGCGACCAGCAAGCCACAAGAAAGTGGGGCCTCCGTCTCGGGGGCCGAGGAAAGACCTCCCCCTCGGGACAAAGGCAAAGGCCTCCTCCATGCAGATGACGCCAGACACCAGATCAACCACGCTCAATCATTCAGGGCGAAATCCCAAGGGGCTACCCCGAGGGATCACAAAGATGAGATCATCGAGGCCCTCCGACGCCAGCTGGAGGAGAAGGAGGCACACCAAACGCCCCTCGCTTCGACTTTGGAGGCGGACCCAAAGTACGCCGCCATACTAGCACAAATGGAGGAAATGAAGTGAAAGTTCGCCGAAGGCTCAGGTGAACCCCTCATCCAGCTCCGCACAAAGACACCCTTCACCCCAAGGGTGTTGGCGGCTCAGATCCCCGGCAAGTATCGGGGACAACCCATCAAACCATATGAGGGGAAGACGGATCCCCAAGAACACTACAACAGGTACCAAAATAATATGATGATGATGGGGGCATCGGACGGATATTTATGCCGCTGGTTCCTTTCCACCTTGGAAGGAACAGCGTATGAATGGTTCAACCGGTTACCCGAAGGCAGCATTGATTCATGGCAAGAACTTGCCCACCGTTTCTTGACACAATTTGTCGGGAGGCACCGGTCAAAGAAACATTTCTCCCACCTTCTGAACGTAAGGCTGTTTCCTAGAACGCTGGAGGCAGGCCTCCATCGAGGTTGATGGCGCCGACGATAGAACGCTGATGGCCCTATTCCACACCGTCCTCCGCCACGGTAATTTCTCCAGGAGCCTTATTACTGACCCCCCCCCCCCCCCCGCGATTATACAAAGGCCCTCCAGCAGGGGGACCGATATGCCGAGGCCGAGGAGATCGAGAAAGATCGCTGTAATCCGGAGCCTTCACAAAAGCACAAAGGCAGAAATCGCCTCGGGGGACCATCCCCTCCGGCAAACCGCAAAGCACAGTACAACGACCGACCCCGGAATGGCCAAGCCAGAACCGGGGGCGGCTACAAGAATAATCCGAGGGTGTGGGCACAACCTACCCTCCTGGAGCACCCACGCACCCCTCTGACGCATCCCATCAGCGTTATCTTAGACTATGCGGAGGAAAGAGGCCTCGTGTAGCGAGATTCACGCACATCCCTAGAGGTATATGCCATCAATCCCAACGAACCTTATTGTCGCTTTCATCGCCATCAGGGACACATATATGACTGATGACTGCCATCATCTGAAGGCAGCCATCGAGAGATTAATACAGGCGGGCCATTTGTCCCAATTCGTCATGGGGGGCCCTCCTCAGGGACCCCCTCATCACCAAGGGCCTCTGCCGAAGGCAAACAAGTGGGTTAACCCAAACACCATCCCCTTGGGATATTCACAGGGAAAGAAGCGTGAGATTGGGAACCTCAGTGAGGAGGAGGATTCACAGCACCGGTACAAGCGCCACATCCACATGATCACTGGAGGTAACACTAGGGGTGACTCCACGGGCTAAAGGAAGAAGTGGGCTCAATCCCTTTACGTTGGGGAGGTCAATCATATGCCCCCAACTAAGAAGGCGAGGGCAGGCCCTATCTTCTTCACAGATGCGGATTTGCCCCGGGGTTCCTTGCCACATAGGGACGCCCTCATCATTTGAACGCAAATCAACGACACCGTCATCCTCCGCACGTATCTTGACACTAGTAGCTCTGTCAACGTTATGTATCTCAGCACTTTTCAAGAACTTGGGCTCGATATGGGATCCCTTCGGCGGATTAAGACACCCCTCTCTGGATTCACAGGGGATAGCATTGACGCCGAGGGCGTCATTTCTTTGATGGTTGAATTCGACGATGGGTTCCACAGGGCCAAGCTCGAAGTGGAATTCGTCGTCGTTAACCTTGACTGCGCACACAATATCATCCTCGGCCGGCCTGCCCTCAAGGACCCAGAGGCCATCATCTCCATGAGGCACCTTTGCCTCAAGTTCCCCACACCCAGTGGCATTGGCTACTCGAGGGGGAATCGGAAGCTCTCCCGGGCTTGCTACCTTCAACTCACCAAGAAGGTTAGTAAAAAACTGAACTCCGCATTGATACTATCACTACAGCCTTGGAAGAGGAAGAAGGCAAGCCGGGGGCTGAGCCTGCCGAGGAGACCGAAGACTTTGTACTCGATCCGGCCAAGCCGGGGAGAGTCTTGAAGATTGGAGCCAAGCTCCCCGAAGACCTGAAGACCGGCATTACTGAAGCCCTCCGCGCCTACCCCATTGTTTTTACATGGGGGCCAGAGGATATGTCGGGGATCCACTAAAGGGTCATCACTCACCGCCTGGCGGTGGACCCTTCGTCCAAGCCAGTACAACAAAGAAGGAGGCCCCTCTCGGCTGAAAGGAGGGACTTCGTAAAGAAAGAAGTTGTCATGCTCCTCTCCATCAAACACATCCGGAAGGTGAAATACCCTTCATGGTTGGCTAATGTGGTCCTTGCGCAGAAGCCACCCACCTTCCGTATGTGTGTTGACTACACAGATTTGAATAAGGCATGTCCTATGGATCCTTTCCCTCTACCAAACATTGATCAACTGGTGGACGAGACAGCGGGATGCGAGATCATGTCCTTTCTCGACGCATTCCGAGGATATCACTAGATCTACATGCATGAGGGGGATGCGGAAAAGACAACCTTCATGACGCCCGAAGGAATCTTCTGTTATTTGGTAATGGCCTTCGGCCTAAAGAACTACGGCGGCACCTACACCCGCATGGTGGTCAGAGTCTTTCAGGCCGACCTAGGGCACACCATGGAGGCATATGTTGACGACATGATCGTCAAAACCAAGCAATCGACGACTCACGTCGAGGACCTCCGGGAGATATTCGTCATCATGCAAAAGTTCAATCTTCGGTTGAACCCTAAAAAGTGCACCTTCGGCGTACAAGGATGGAAGTTTCTTGGCTACATGGTTAGCCGAAGGGGTATTGAAGCCAACCCCGAGAAAATCCAGGCCATCATCAACATGGAGACCCCACGCAACGTGAAAGAGGTTCAAAGGTTGACGGGTCGCTTGGCAGCCCTCAACCGCTTCCTTTCTAAATCAGCGGAGAAAGCCCTCCCCTTCTTCCAAATCATGAGGAAGACAGCCGGCTTCCAATGGACATCAGAATGCCAGGAGGCCTTCGACGAATTGAAACGGTACTTATCTTCACCCCATGTGCTCTCCAAACCCAAGGTGGGAGAGACCTTATATCTTTACCTTGGTGTTAGCCTTGCTGCCATCAGCTCCGTGTTAATCCGGGAGGAAGACAGCATCCAACATGCCATCTTCTATGTCAGCAAGACCCTCAGGGAAGCAGAACTCAGATATTCCCCTGTGGAGAAAACGGTGCTAGCCATCGTTTGGACCATCAAGAAGTTGGGCCATTACTTCCAAGCCCATCCGGTCCAAGTGCTCACACACCAACCCTTTGGCGCCCTCATGAGGAGCCCCACCAGTTCCTCAAAGATGGTAAAATGGGCCATCTTCCTCAGCCAATACAACATTGGCATCCGTCCGAGGCCTGCCATCAAGGGCCAAGCCCTGGCGGACTTCGTGACAGAGTGCACGGCGAGATCAGCGGTGGACGAGGAGCCCCCGGCGCCGCTTGACGAGTGGTGGACTCTCTACATCAACGACTCCTCCGCTATCAAAGCATGGGGAGGAGGGTTGGTCCTCATCACACCCGAAGGTTTCCGGGCCTATTATGTCATCCGTTTCTCCTTCAAGG